TTGTAGCTTGTGTGTTGTAATCACTCTCTGCCTTGGCCAAGCACATCCCTGAAAGGAAATCATTTTTAATACTAAACAGTAACACTAAATTTTTTACACTGTGTACCAAAGTCAGATCTTTATATGTCATTCTATTTCTTCTTTTGAGACAGGGTCTCACCATGTTGTTCAGATTGGACTTGAAGCCACTTATAGCCCACACTGGCCCCGCAATTATGGCAGTTCTCCTGCCCCAGCCTCCTGAGTTCTGAGACTGCAGAACTCTGTGCTCCACTGGTGGCTGTTTTTAGCCAGTTCTATGTTACCAGTGGCTTACATTAGAAGAGCCAGGGTAGGCTGTACTTAACTTACCAAATACTTTACACTTCAGTTTTTTCTTTGCTGTTGTGACCTGGGGTGTGTCCATGGTGCCCAGGCTGGTCTTTGGGGCTCTAGGGTTCCTTCTTCCTCAGCCTCCCGAGTAGCTGGGAGTCCAAGGGTGAACCACTCTGCCCAGCCCAATGCTGTACTTTTACAGAGTCTCTCAGAGAATCTTGTACAAAGCGTTCTAAACTGGAATACTCATGAAGCAAGAGAGAGCACTTAAAAATCATTAAAATGGCTTTATCCTCCAGTGCTTTTTGTTTTGTTTTGTTTTGTTTTTAGTTTGTTTTTCTTTTTGGTGGAACTGGGGATTTGAACTCAGACCCTTGTGCTTGCCAGGCAAGCGCTTATTCTACCAAGCCATCTCCCCAGCCCTCTCCAGTGCTTTTTTGCTGAGCCAACATTTAGCTTAGAGTAAAAAAATCAGCACAGCTGTTGAGTGCATTTAGCACACTTATAGCACATGCATAGGCTCAAGGAAAAATGAGTATTATTAGAAAAAATAGGATTTTTTAGGGGTAACCATTTTCTTGTACTCCTTAACATCAAATTTCAAGTTCAAGGGAGATTCTGGAAAGAAAGCCTTAGGCAATAGAAGTCCACCGTAATTTTATCCAGGCATCTTTCTTCAATTCCTTCCTTCCTTCATTCAGATACAGTTATTGAATGGGAAATGTTTAAATAATTACAAAAACTAGGAGTGTAACAGCTGCTGACAGGGGGCAAAGACAAGCCCCTACAGAGGAGAACTCGTTTGAAGGAACACAGAAGCTTTAACTGCAGTCTCAGAACAGACACTGATTTGGGTCAGGACTCTCAGACTGTCAGGAATGGCTGCACTTTGCTTTCAGATTATGTACTTTTCAGGTTTCCACAGTAACCACATGACCTCATTACCTCATTTCAGGACTTTTTCTTTTTTTTTTTTCAGTACCTTTTCAAAAATGTCACACAATACAGGTGGTGAGAGAGTGCAGGGAACTAAACTCCTGCTTAAGCAAGCTCAGGGACTGGGGTTGGATCACCAGTACCACATGGAGCACTGGCCCCGCCCCTGAGTGCACTGATCCTGTGACTGAGTCTGGGCGTGGTGCTGCACACTTGTAATCCCAGCACTGGGAGGCTGAAACAGGCAGATCACTACAAGTCCATGCTGCGTAGGGAGACCCTATACCAAATACAAAAAAAAAAGGGGGAGGCATAAAAGACATTTTATATTTCAATGTATATATGTGCAATTTCTCAAAATGATCTGAAGAGCACACGTCTGAACTCCAGTCACGCCGCAACATCTCGTATGCCGTAAAAAAAAAAAAAAAAAAAAAAAAAAGCATATCATACATTTGGCAGACATTGTTGACCATCTGCCTCTCATGGGACAACGTGGTTTAGTGTTTGCCCTTTCCCCAAAGTTGTCCAAACTATTTGTTCCTATTTTATGACCTTGGTTTTCCCTAAGTGGGTTTATAGTTAGATGCATGGGAGGTGGTGAGTTTGTGTATAGTTTAAGTAACTTAAGTAACCCTCCCTTAAAGTGAAGTCTTTTTGCTCCCTCAAGAGATTACATTAACAAATACAGAGCAAGCTGTTTAGGAACTGTTCTTTATGACATATCACAAATGGTGTTGAAGACAATGGGAAACAGAGAGTGTAGAGGGAATGACAATGAAACATCCTGCTGAGCTGCAGAGAACCCTTACATAAAGTGACTGGAGGAAAACAGGGTCTTATTCACTTCTTATAAATTCATTGTATCTTTTAAAATTCTTGTTCTTACAAACTCTGTATCAAGATAGAGAACCTTAAGAAAACTTTTACATCCCTGTATCCTCCAGATCCCCAGTTTCAAACTGGCCTATCAATATAGCTTTTGCTCTGGCTTCTCAGGCCACTGAATCTGGAGCAACTGACAAATCTAGAGGCCCTAGGATAGTACAGCAGGTGGTGTGGGACATGGAAGGTGGAGGATACTTTCCCCTGTGACATCATTCTTTTACCTGGTGTCTCAGGTTCTCAAGGAATAAATTATGTTTTAACGTTGTAAGTATTGAACTCCACATGGAAACAGCAGCCTCTTCATACAAATTCTCCCTGACCATTCATTTTCTCATTGAACCTTCATGGGCCAGTGAAAGCAGACTTAGAGTTTGCCAGGTTGATCCATTCATTCCTTTTGCTTCCAGAGTTTTGGTCAACTTACACCTGTTAAAGACCTTGCCCTGGATGGTCCCAGACTGGAAGACCAGCCTGAGAAGAAGGAGAGCCTTCATGATTTCTGGAAGCACAGGCCCCTAGGCTGGCTGGAAGTGCTGGCAGGATTGAAAGGCTTTGGACTTGCTTCTTCCTTTCGTAGTGTAGGGTTCACCCTTTGTGATTAGTATGTAGTAGATGAAAATGGGAAACAGGAAAAGGGAATGTCGCAAGACTGGCCGGCCGAGATGCTGTATATAATTAGTATGTAAAGCACAAGTTAGTGATCCGCCTAATACAAAAGGATTTTGGGAAATATTGTGTTGCTGTAAGAATTAATTGACTCGGGCCGCGAGTCGAGACGTGGGTAATGACCTGGAGGAGGAACGGGGATGAAAAAGACAGGGCAAGAGACACAAGAGACGGAGACAAGACAGGCTTTCTGATCAAGTCTCGTTTATTGAGGAAGTGAACAGGGTCTAAATAGCTGTATAGTGGAAGCAGTTGGGTGGGACTAGTTGTGGATTGGTAGTGGAGATCCAGGACCACAGGAAGATGTCGAGGCAAGCAGGTATTGGTGCTGCAGCACTTCTTGCCCAAATAAGGGAAAATATAACAGGAGCATTCTATCGCCCCCCACATATCCCCCTTTTTTATTAAATACATCAAGCGGAAATTGACAGTGCCCTGCGGGGA